ACCTTTGGCAGAGAAATGGCCCTTTCCCCCCCCCCAGAACAGTGTTCCCCAACCTGGGCAATTTTCCAATGGGGGGAGTGCACCTCACAGATCGCCCCAGCCAGCCATGCTGGCTGGGGCATTCTGGGAGTTGCAGTCCACACATGGTAAAGTGGCCAAGGTTGAAAAACACTGCTCTAGACACTGATGGAAGTCAAGGGTGGTCCTGTGTCCTTCCAGATGGTCCCCTGTCCTGCAGCTCTTAAAGTGACAGGCGTCCCCATCGGTTGGGAGGGGGCCGCCCAGAAATGAAACCCTCTCCATCCCGCCTTCCTTCCAGCCCTCCCTTATCCTGGATGCACTTTTCCACCCCGGGTGGGGTTACCTGTATTCAGTGTTCCCTCTGCCCTCCATGGCACAGGTTGTGTGGACGGAACCGCCAGACACGAACACGGGGAAGAGTGGACGCCTCCCACGGAGCCCTGCCTGAAGTGCAAGTGCCAGGTGAGCTCCCAAGAAGGCTGGGCGGCAGTGCCCGGCTCTCCGCCCGTGGCTTTCAGACTTCCATTCACCAGAGGTTCTCGGGCTGAGTCTGCAAAGTCCCCAGCGTCACGCTCAGCCCATGGAGACTTTACCTGCCAACAGCAGGGCAGCACCTGGCCGAGTTGGGCTGACCTGCAAGAACTAAGCAGGTTGGGGACATGCGTGGGAGCCACCAGGAAAGGTGGAAGGCACCAAGCCACGCCACAAAGACCACAGGGACAGGGTGGGAGTCAGGGAAGCCTGCAGGGTTAGGGTCAAAAGAGACAAGATGGTGTACAGGTCATCCTTGTTTAGTGACTGCCTCGTTTAACGACCATTCGCAGTTATGGCAGTGATGGAAAAGTCACTTTGTGACCATTCCCCGCATTTACAACCTTTGCAGCCAAGGAAAGCTGAAGTCAGATTGTAAGCACCGTCATGGGTTCACTTAGCAACCGCTTCGCTTAACGACCGAGTGGCCAGTCCCAATTGCAATCACTAAATAAAAAACGGGGAGTTTCAGTCACACCATCACAGGCTCCATCTTGACTTTTTTGACCATCCTCTGCAGACCTCCCTGAGTCATACTTGATTCAAGGCCACCTTTACCTTTCCGTGCATTTTGCGTGGTCATCTTTCCGGTACAGGCAGTTGTCCCCCCGTCTCGCATCTCGCTGGCTTCTGGACCAAGGAAACCCTGGGGTGCTGCTCCCTGCTACACTGACCTCTTTGAAAACAGGGGGTGGCCAGCTGAATCCCTGACCCGAATCCCCCTCCCAGGAGGCACATCTCTTTGCACACCTCCAAGGACCCCCTTCTTCCTTCTCTCCCCCTCTGCTGCAGGAAGGCAATGCCATCTGCAAACGGAGGCAGTGCGCCAGTCTGTGCCGCCACCCTGCCCACCCTCGCCCAGGCACCTGCTGCCCTGTCTGTGATGGTGAGTCCTGGGAGGGGGGGGCCTCTGGGCAGAAAGAGGGGGGGGCATAGGCATTCCAGGCAAACCATGATGACATCATTGTACAAATGACACAGATTACGTGATTATCTGTGCCACACACGCACCCCTGCCCTCACCCAGGGACCTGCTGCCACGTCTGTGATGGGGAGTCCTGGCAGCGGGAAGGACTCTGGGTGGAAAGATGGTGAGATCATCCTGGACAAGCCAGGATGACATCATCGTGCATTGTGGCCTCACGTGCAAGTGAGACAGATTATGTGATTTGTGCCACAACCCAAGATGCAAGTGACGGCAGATGGGTGTGAGGAAGAGAATGCCTTTTGCAGATGGCAAAATTGCCCTTGAGAAGTCGGACCATCTTCTGCGATCTTCCTTCCTTCCCATTTCCCTTACACAGAAAGCGTTTATTTTATTTTCAAGAGGAGAGCCGCAGGAGTTGGGTGGTTCTTCAGAGGAACCTACACCCTAAATACTGGGGTGGGACCCCAGAGGCAAGGCTGCCGAAGAAGGGCTCTCCGTGGGAGCAAACTGGCAAGATTTGCCAACGGATTTTGCACAGGGGAACCGACTTGCGTAGCGAAGGTTACTCTTGTCTCAGAAATCCACGTGCCCAAAGCGAAAACGTGGCCCCAAACGAACCTGGATCTGTGAATGCCGCCTGCCCCAATACCACCCGCCCCCCTATATTAGGGGCAGCTGGACCAAAACAATACATTTGTGGGGTTATTTTAAAACCACGCATTAGGGAGAGCTGTGGGCAAAACGGTCTCTTAGGGAATGTGGTAAAGAGTGAAAGAACGCCGAGTTCCCGGCAGGTGTTTTAAAAGAAGAGTCGCAAGATTGTGGGAACAAAAGACTTGAGGCAGTCTTGCAGTGCGCAGAGGCACCCGCTGTTCCCCCCACAGCAATCGGAGGGGTCCGCCCAGCCCAGCCCCCCCGACGCTGTTCAGTGGTTCAAGCTGGTCTTCCTTCCGTGGGGTTATTTTGGCATGCGGTTGGGGGATGCCAGATGTCACCAGCAGGGAAGTGACTTGATAATATTGCTGGAGAAAAATGACTGCCCTGCGGTAGTTGTGGCCCCTATCAGGGGCATCTGTGGGGGTCCAAAAAGTCAAGATGGCGTCATAACAGTGCAATCAGAGCCTTGAGCCTTCTTTACGCGTGTCGCGCACGACACATTTTAAAAGGGTGCAGGGCTTTGACCGCACAGTCGTCGCTGCCATCTTGACCCCCCCACCCCATGTCTCCAGTCTCCCAGATCTGGAAAAAGAGGTGGTCCTTGGTAAGGGGGGGTTCCCTGTGTGCTGATTAAATATTCTGGAGCTGGTATAGCAAAACCCCTTTTTCTTGCTTCTGGTCTCCATCACGGGGAGGGAAAGCGAAGTGATGGAGGCCTTGCCCGACACCCTCATCACCCCCCCACCCCATCAGCACGGCAGTGGGAGGCCTCCCTCCCAGTGGGGAAAGTGGGGAGAACTCTGCCGACTCCGCGCTGCCCCCTGCTGGTGAAAAGAGCCCGGCCAGGGCTGCGGGGAAGACTTTCCCAGCCCATTTGCCTTGCCACTTCCAGGGTGCCTTTGGAAAGGGCGCGAGTACCGCAGTGGCGACGCCGTGCAGAGCGAGGACCCCTGTGAGCGCTGCCGTTGCCTGGTGAGTCTGCTGCCTGGGGGGGCTGAGCCCTACTGGCTGGGGGGGCTGAGCCTGTCCCGAGTGGGGACGGTCACGCCAGGCATCTGCTTGCCCCAACAGGCTGGTGAGGTCTCTTGCAGACGGATGAACTGCCCGCCCACCCCCTGCAGCCACCCGGGCAAGCGTCCCGAGCAGTGTTGCCCCACCTGTGATGGTGAGTTGCCCCCCCTCCCTCCCCTGGCAGATTTCCCATCCTCCTCCCCCAGGGATGTCCACGAAGGGACCCGCTGGGGGGGCAGAGCAACTGGGCAGGGTATAGGTTTTTCCCAGGAAGTTGAAACTTCTTCCGAAACGCATTTGACACTAATATCTCGAGATTTGCTGAGTGTGCCAAATAAAGCCTCCACGCCAGGAATAGTCTATCTTCATCTGCATTCCGAAGGATGCTAAAGGAAAGGACGAAGCAAACGTATATTCATTTTATCTTATTCAGAAGACATGGTAAGAATGTGAAAGTTCACTGAAATAGAACATAGTAAAGGGATTGTGCAGACATTAAAGCAGTGTTTCACAACCTTGGCAATGTGAAGATGGGTGGACTTCAACTCCCAGAATTCCCCAGCCAGCAATGCTGGCTGGGAAATTCTGGGAGTTGAAGTCCACCCATCTTCAAGCTGCCAATTTCAGAAATACTGCATTAAAGGCATATTATCAAACCTAGAGAGTTTCTCCACTAGCTTTGGGGTATCTGTCAGAGGGCTACCTTACTAACCCATCATCAGTTTTCTATAATTTAGCAGAATTCTTTACCAGCCTAACATCTCTATTTCCCTTTATGTGAAAGATCATTGCCCAAACGGGTTTCTTTGTGAGAGCAATTCGTCCTGCGCCATTACCCTCTGCCCCCGTGGCCTCATCCATCGCAGGAGCAGAAATAACCACGGAGCCCAGGGAGATGCGGAAGCCCCCCGCTCTTCCCCTAGCACGACTCCGAAGTTAGGGCCAGGACGGAAGAGTTTGACCCTCACCTTCCCCCTCTTCCTTTCCTTTCCTGAATCCCCTTGGCCAGTCTGTGAATTCGAAGGACGGTTGTACCAGGACCAAGAGACCGTTCCCCCTGCCGAGCGGGGTCCCTGTCTGCACTGCCAGTGCTTGGTGAGTGGTGGAGGATGGGCCAGCGGGCAGGAGGGGCGGGGGACTGAACCATCAGGCCGTGTGCCAGTCAAGGGCCGGGCTCCGTGCCACCTTCCCTGCGTCTTGGTTCAAACACACACCCATGTCTTTTTTTATTAAGTTTAATTCCTGCATTAAAGTCTATTTTCCCAAGATGACTTAACAGTATTTTAAAATGCTACTAGTTCCTCGTCAGCCAAATGGGGACAGGGGTGAGGACAGCTATACAGCTCTTCCTGAGTATTCAGATGCCATCAAGAGCATAGCTGACCTGGGTATACAGCAGTGTTTCTCAACCTTGGCCACTTTAAGACGGGTGGACTTCAACTCCCAGAATCCCCCAGCCAGCCTT